GGGTGGTTAGCTGAGGAGCTCCTAATCAGGGACTATGTCCTTGAGGATTGAAACATCCTGGATAAAAAGTGTAACTATGTGTATTCAAATTGCCCCCCTCCCCCAAATAAACAAGAGAGTTGAGTTTAGGGGGTTTGGGGAATGGCTGGAAGGTGACCTCACAGACTTCCAGCCCCTTAAATCCAGCCGCCCTATGCCTCGGAGGTAAAGATTCGGTACAGGCTGGGCTGCGAGGGTACGCCAGCCGTCCAGATCGGTGAGATAGTCCCTTGCCAGCACCTGACTGCTGATGGACGGCAGCAGGTTGTGGTCAGGGGAATAAGAAGAGCAGGATATGCAGCAGTGACAAAGAAACCGAAGCTGAAATGCTGCCATCTAATAATTCTGCACGAAAAGCCGAGTTAATTGCTTTAATTAGAGCTTTGGAATTATCTGATGGCAAACGAGTTAATATCTGTGCAGGCACCAAATATTCCTTTATGGTGGTACATGCCCATGGAGCTATCTGGAAAGAACGGGGACTCCGGTCATGGCAAGGGAGTCCTGCTAAACACGGACACGAAATGATGAGGTACGTGATGCTGACACGGTACCACGAGAGGTCGCAGGAAATCCATTGCAGAGCTCCCCAGTCTGGGAATATGGACGTGATCAAGGGAAACCGTAAAGCTGTGAAGCTGCCAAAAACCATAATTGACTGAAACAATAGCTGCTTGAATCCCTCAGAGATTTTTAGAAGTTGAACCTTTACCGTATACAGACCAGGAGAATAAGCAGAATTGCTGCAATGTACTACAACCTCCGCAGGGTGGTGGATCACACCAGATGGACAATGCATAGTTCCCACACCTGTAATGAGGGAAAGAACAAAGAAAACCCATATCAGCACCCACATGGGAGCAGGAGCCTTACTTGAAGCAGTACGAAGATATGCCCTTGGGATCAATCCGATGCTAATTGCAAAAAGCGTCACCCAGCAATGTGAACTGTGCCTTAAAAATAATCCAAAGATACAATGGAAGCCTCCACCAGGAGAGGCAACATTCCAGGTGAATATTGGCAAATTGATTTTTCAGAATTGCCTAATTGTTAAGGTTATCAGTATTTTCTGGTAATGGCCGATACTTTTCCATGTTGGCCTGAGGCATTTCTGTGTTACACCAATAAGCCAAGAGATGTAAAGGTATTGCTAAAAAACATAATCCCAAGGTTTGGAGTACCTGTAGGGCTTTCATCTGACAGAGGATTTAATTTTGAAGCCAATATAGTACAAGTTAGCTAAATTTCTACAGATAAAATGGGATTTACATTCCTCTGGAGGCTCAGAGGAAGTGGATAGATATTTTACCATGAGCATTACTTAGAATTAGTGTGACTCCAAGAGCCAGGAGGGAGTCAGCCCATTTGAAATACTATATGGAAAACCATATACTATAAATTTGGCTGGGAAAGGTAATCAGATGTATGCAGGGGGTGATCAGCTATTGAGTAACCATCTCCTAGCCTTCGCAGAAGTTCTCACCTCGCTCCACAGGAATACTCAACCGAGAATGCCTGTTCCATGAGATGCTCCTGTTCATTCATTTAAAGCAGGTGATGAGCCCTTAGCTGAGAAGTGGAAAGAACCTTACCTGGTGCTGCTGACTACAAACACAGCTGTAAAGCTGCCGGGTGTGGAATCTTGGATTCATTCCACTTGAGTGAAAAAGGTTCCTGCAAAGATGTGGAAAGCCGAACAAGTCAGTCCATTGAAGCTAAAGCTACGTCACACCTGGACCAGTTTTAAACCACCTATTTATATCGAGTGTGATCAGTACCATTTGTTGCTAGGATTAGGAGTAATTATAGCTTTAGATTCTCTTAATCAGTATCTTAAGTAGCTGTGTTAGTCTTTGTGATTATGCAGTGTGGTGTGAAATGTTGCTCTTTGTGTATGAGTAAGACAACAAAGGTAGTGGGACTTAAACAAATAATTTTTAATAAGTCCTCAAGGGGGGGGAGATGCCTTGAGCGCAGATAATGAACCTTTTAACTGAGGCACAGAAATACGTATACGTAGGTGGTTGTATGTGCTTATTATTAACAGCCAAATGTTCCGTCCTTGGAGACATTTTCAAATGTTGGGAGTGATTAGCTGATCAGGGACTATGTTCTTGAAGATTGAAACATCCTGGGCAAAATGTGTAACTATGTGTATTCAAATTATATTGTTCATAATTAAGAATGTATGGCCATCTTCTGGCACCCAGATGTTGTCCTAAACTGAACTACCCTCATTATAACACTAAAAATCACACCCCTTAGGTAGGAGACCCTGGCCTAAGGAGAGACCCTTCCCCTCTGAGCATGCCTGGTACGTTTTTACTTATGTAAGCAGTATGTTAACTAAGTGACCGATCAGCCTTACGGGACTGCCCCAGGGAACTGTGATGAGAATGTACAAAGCTCGGGCCTTTCTGGAAATAGTTATTCTAGTTTCATCTGGCACCCAAAATTGCACGACTTGGTCAATGAAACCGAAATCCCGTCTCTGTCTGTAAGGCTGGCTGTTGCACCAGGAACGACCTCGCGCTTTTGCAACAACGCTTATTTTGTTGGTGCTGGAGAGAAGTCAGTCCTTGAAACAAGACAAATAAGGGTCTGCAATTAGGAAACAGCATCTTGTGGCTTTATTAGATCTAGTCTGGCCTTTTTTTCCAGTCTCTTATAAAAATATCAGTGCAATTATAAGAATTAAGATTATGGCACAGCAGTGCTTTCCGTCACAGAGTTAAATCCTTGAGTGTGGCTTAGTGGCCTAGGCTGAACAAATGAAAGATCTACTCTTCCTCGATCCAGAAATAAATTCCAGAAAATTCAATTAACCCCTCAGGCTGTCAGGGTTGGTGGGTTATTTGTAGGGCTGGGGACAGCAGTTCTGTGCTGCATAGATTGTTAAAATCCTCTGAGATTACCATCAGAGAAGGGATTTATTGGACACTGTGGCTGGACAAAAACTTTTAAGCTCTTACCTGGAATCCTTGCAGACAAGGAACCTGTCTAAATCTGAAAGAATAGTCACTTCCCTCTCTATTATCCTACCTTCGTATGATGGCAGACTCAAAAGCAGCAATCTCAAAGGATATTACAATAAAGGGAAATAATACTGTAACATAGACATTAACCATTTTCTTTATCCTTCATCTTGTGAGATGCAGTTGTATGGTACTGGAAGGCTAGACCATCCTTCAGGGGCAGTTCCTGAAGGCGAGTTCAAAGACAACGTGTTTCATGGAGCTGGAACCTACACGTTTCCAAATGGAGCCAAGTACACTGGACCGTTCAGTGCGAACAAGTATGTTTGAAGTGGAAGAGTTGTGTAGTCTTTTCTGTTATTTTTGAATTCATAAACTATAAAGACCAAATAAAATTCACACAGCATGGGAGTAGGTGTCTTTGGCTACCTGTGAAACTTGCACCATGTATCTGAGATCGCTGATCCCAGTCGTATCCTTTTCATGACAACCGTCTAAAGTCTGTGATTCATTCCCTGTCAGAAGCTTTCAAGAATGTTATTCCACCCACCCACTTTTTGTTACCAGGTCTCTGGGCTCTAACAGTTCAGACCCCTGTCAGGGCTGTGGTTTCAGGCTGTCTGCCTACAGGTGCACGTGGATATACAGCACTGGTTTGCAGATAGTTGCAAAGTTTGTATTTACTTATTTTTTGAGGTAAAGTACGAATTTCAGAGAGATGGGAGAATATGGAGGGTTATTTTCAGCACACGGAACAAAATATTGTAGCGCCACTGATCTAAAAATCAGCTGAGTTCACTTCTTTTGAGTAAGGGTGTGTGTTTTGAATTACTAAGATACCATCTTTTTCTGAAACAAGTAGACAACTGCCCACTTCATAATCCACAAAGCAGATTTAATGAGAAACTTAACTGTAACAAATTACATGAGAACATTCATGTTTACTCTTCTTAAATGACTTTGCTGTCAAATTCGCTAGGTTTGATTTAGGTTTCATTTTCCTTTAAGTACCACCTCAGGCCAGTACCTGAAATAAATCTAAAATGTACATTTTTTAATATGTGGTCTTTCACCAGAAAAAAAGCTCTGTCTTGCCCTGCTCACAAAGTAATCACCACCGTAGTACTAGAATAACCCAAGAAAATACAGCCTGGTGCAAAGGGACCACCACAGTGCATGTGAATCTGTGAAGAAAACCACCTGGTTCTGATCTGAACTGGTGATTTCAACTAACCAAAACACCGATGTAGCTACACCCTTGGCAGCAGAGATGCAATCTTTGCCAGCCACTGCTGTTTTCACCAGGGAATTCCCTTTCTGACACTGGTTTGTGACTGCTCGAACGTGCCTTCCCTGATAGCCCAATGCCGGCTATTTTGGCAAGTTTCAGGTTTCCTAGTTTCCACCTACTAATAAGTTCACCAGATCACTGTGGCTTTCATGAGACAACACAAACATCATAGCAACTTGTTGTGACTGCTAGGTGGCTTCATTTTTTAAGAGAAACAAATGTCCAGTAGTTAATTTTAAGTTGTTTTCCCCTAATTTGGAAGGGGTGCTGATGCACAGACATCTCTTCTTTATAGGAGTGTGCAGGTATAAGGATGAGCTTGATCACAGCTTTCAAAGACCAGCAGAAATACATGGTTTATGAGTTCCGAATACACAGGACAGTTACTTTTTTTCCCCTGCAGGAGGCTGCAAACCCTTTGTCATAACAGCATGGAGCAGGATGGGGAAAGGGTGAGAGAGGGTAGATTTTTGCAGCAATAAGATCACACAGTCACGGGCTGCATACACTTGCACATCTTTAAGACACCAGAGACACCAGAAGAATAACTATTTCAATCTCTGCCTTGCATAACAAATTGCCCTGGGTTGCAGCCGAGCGCTCTGCACCTCCAATTTGATTAGCAGTGTCACAAGCCAGGTACCCAAGAGCCCTTCATAATTGCATTACAATTTGTTATAACTAATTCTCTACACAGAGGAAAAGCTGGGTTGGATGGATACCTCCTCAGATCGTCTCAGCAATAACCTGTTCTTTTTCATCAATAGATCCTGAAGCGCTCAAGGAGTCCATGAGCTTTCAGCTCAGCTATCTCACCATGAAGTTGAGGCCTGTAAACTTCCAAGGTGCTTCATTTTGTGTAAGGCAGAAAAAGAGATTTTAGAAGTCCAGTAAAAACACTGGCTTCAAACAACTTAGCATTTTTTACTCGTATTTTTAGCTCAGAGTTCCACACTACAAACACATTTCACCCTAAATTCTTATAAACGTCAACCAAACTTTAAGTAAATCCAGCCACAGTGGAAATTAACAACTTCAACAACAGCACTCTTACCACTCAAAGCATAGTATATTCCATAATGAATGAGCAACCTCTGGGTTTCATTTTGGTGCCTTCCTTTTTCCATTCACCGTGTTGGAGTTATCTGTCTGAAACACATAAAAGACCAATAAATGACAAAAAACTGACAAACCAGTCACTGGCTCCTTTTTCTCTTCTGCCAAAGTGCTGCTGGTATCTTTGACACCAAGCCTTCTCCAGAAAAGTCTCTCTCAATAAGAGTCTATCAAAACCTGACAGCAGTTCATCTTTCTTAGTACTTTCTCTGGACAGTTTTACTGTGGCAGCTCTGCCTGCCAGCCTTATGGTTTATCTGTCTGCACTACAGGAGCCAAAGTCAGAGCAATGAAGCTGAAAGCATCTCGTAAGGAGCAGATAATGAAGAGAAGTAGCTGACGTCCCTCGAAACAGCCTTCTTGAATGGCACGTGGCAGAGCAGCATGGGAAGCCCTCCTATTAAACCCCATCTCTGTGTGGGTATCCACGTGCCTCGGCACACCATCCCTACCTCCAGCTCTTACAGCAACACCGTGTCGTCGGGATCAGCCCGCAAGTTCTGCCAGGCGGGTAGCGTTTAGCAAACTGCTGCCAACACGGCGATTTCTAAATGCAGGGCTAGATGGAAAAAAGATTTTCAAGGCATTGAACTTCAACTTTGAACTCCTAATAATTATGACAGAAGCCAGCTGGAGCTGTCAGGCGCTCAACACTTCCGAAAATCTGGGTTGCTAATTACAGAGCCAGAAGCCTAAGAGCAGATGTCTATCCACTGCTGAACATCCAGGCTGCTGCCGCCTTGCACATTTCCACGCCACCAGCCTGCCTGTGCTCAGCTGAAACACCACACTCACAGCATGGGGTTGCTAAGCCCATTTCTGATGCCCAAAATTATTTATGCATTGAATTCAGAGTGCCTTTGAGATTTATTTTTTTCCTCCTTTTGTTTCATCAATTGCTTGACGGGGACAAGAGTTGCGGGAAGCATTTGCTTTCACTCCTCCCTATCTCCCTTCGTAAAGTCTCTCTCTGCCCAGTGCCTGCTTCGTGTTTATCGTGGTAGTATTGTCACAAACCTTCCGTTTTGGATAAATAGCCAGAGGTAGGTTTGCTTATTCGTAGTTAGGTGTTTCTCAAGGACAGGGGTGGGAACTGCAGGCCAGTACCGTTGCAGCACGAACTACAACTACGAACATATTCCAAAAGTCAGTATTTTAAGTTGCTTTGCGTACAGGCTGTTTCTTCTACTGTCAAGAAATCAGTAGGAAGCCTTGCAGCAATTTGCTCTTTAGAGAGAGCGTGGTGGAGAATGCATTATTGACACCCAAAAGTCGCCCATTGCATGGACATGCACGTACATAGTAAGAAGCAATATTTGGGTAGATGTGCGGGATTGACCCCACACCGAAGCAAAGCTTGAGTGCAGCTGCTCAAAGGCATGCCTACACCACACAGTGCCTAGGTCCAGCGAGTTGGGCTCCTGCTCATCACTGCTTCCTTGGCATTCCTCTCCAAGACATGCGGCAGAGCTTTCTCCCAGCAGTGGTACTGGCAAACAAATGTATTCCTTAAATGAGGCTTTTCTGGGTTTGTGCTGGACCAGCACAGCCCTATTTGTGTTTCATGACAACTTCACTGATGCTGTCTGATTGGATTTGTGTTCTTCAGTTTAACGCTTCTGGACGCGAGCCCCGTCGGTGGTACAGCAAAGCACAGCAGCTTGCAGAGCTCATTCTCCGGTTACGTGGCCGGCTGGCACCGGCAAAGGCCCTGGCTCATCACTTAGCAGGTGTCACTTTTCATCAGCCGATTGTCAGGGATCACCTTTCCCCCCTCCCTGACAGCACTGCCCCTATCACAGTTCGTGTGCCTTGTTGGCATTCATGTCCACATGAAGCATTTGTAAGCGCAGCGTCGCCTTTAGTTCTGCTTTTAGCTGAACCCAATTTTCACATCTTTCATTAAGGTTGCTACAGCCCTACCTTGGACCAGACATCTCTCAACTGCTGCCTACTACATGAAGTGTGGCTGCGAGGTCATTCGTTTCTTCAAGTAAAGATAAGGAAGAAAAAAATGAACCCCTTCGACTAAGTCTTCCACATGTGGGGTTTTTTGAGGGGTTGGGTTTTTTTGAGATTTGTTTTCAAATCCTGCACCAGGGTCCATAATTGAGCGCCACCTTCCTCCCCCACCTTTCCTTGCTCAGGTACCACTTTTATTTTGTGGGTTTGTCTGCTGCTGCTTCCGGGACAGCAGGCACGCACAGCCCCCGCTCCACTGCCACAGGGGGAAAGCACACCTCGGTTGGTAAATGTTCAGCTTCTCTAAAAAAAACTGGGAGGGTGTTTTCACATCAGCCTCTGTACCTCTTTTTTATCGACATGAGCAGACTACTTCATTTAAGTCTTCGTGGTGATGTGAAAATGCAGTTCAGGAAACGCTGAAAGCACAATGATAGAAGTAAAGTAGAAAGTCATCATTGCACCAATAGCTCCATCTTCACATCAGCTCCGGGAGGGGCTGAGAGAAGCGAGAGCAGTGAGAGCACGTGGTAATTAGATTCTTTACCTCATCAGAATTGTATTACCAATAAATCAGTGAAGAGGACTGGCTTCTTTGTAGGTTCCTTGAATTTAGCCATTGCCCAAGAACCCTGTAACAACAGAGCTGCAGTGTGATTAACCCGTAGTCGGGAACTATCACTGCAACCCCGCTCTGCTCGTGCTCAGCCCAGTATGGTCAGCCACAGCCCTCCTCAGCAATCGGACCCCTGCGAGGCACAGAGAAGAGGAAGAGTTACAGGGCTGAACAAAGCAGGTGAGTCCATAATGATGGACACTGATCAAGAAGAACACAAGCTTTGTGTTAAGGAATATTTTGGCACACAAGAGCCCAGTGAAAAATTTAGCTTTTCCTCATCATGTCACACTGCTCCTTGTTCTGCCTTTGTCACTATTCACTGCCTTTTCAGG